CTGAAATAGTGTATTCTGTGAATTTTTTACTAATAAATCTTTTTACACTTGATATAATTTAAGCAGAAAAATAATTTGTAAACGACACTTATTGTATATACAAGCTCAGAAGACAAATCTCAATTGAAAATAATCAGTAAATCATAGAAAAGCAACATGAATATCTTTGCGAACACCATACATAATGTATCCAACACGTTTCTAATGAAATAGCGCTTAAGTAACAAATATTTCATGCTGAGCGTGCGGAGCATCCTCCAACATAATGATCAGTGTAAAACATTTCAGAAAGTAGGCAACTTTTAAATTCTCTTAAAGACTTAGGCGCTGTTTATATTATACCATTGACTGACACGTCCTTCTAATATATCAGCCAAAGACGCAGATCAAATGAGTATTCAATGTGATGCAAAAGTATAGCTTCGATTGAAATGGTAGATATTTTTATGACATAACATTATTTGGCTACTCAAGAAAAGTAAATCAATACCAATGTTCGTCACGACTTCTGGTACGAATGCTGAAAAGTTCGAATGAGATTCAGAGTTAGGAAATTCATAAACAAGTTGCTCAGAAGTCATTAATCACTCTGCAGTTTGCTAGCGTATTTCGATGGCTTTATTGTTCTACTGCAACTTGACAAGAAGTCATTGTCGTTATTGGACGGTCGTAAAATAATTTATAGAATCTTGTCGGTAATGTTTTTATCAAAGAAAAACTCACCTGAGTGATGAACAGAGTGTAGTAGATGAAGCACAGTTTCTTCGTACATTTCACCTGCCCGATACATCATTTAGTTGCTTGGTTTTGACTTCGATAGTGAGTAGAAAAATGATTCCTTCCTCTTTGGTAGTCAACCAAAAGCAATAAACATCATAGAAACACTCGTGCTCTGTCGATTTCAGAGAGAATGATTGTTTACGAGGTTATTATAACTATCAAAAGATCTTGTTTGCAGAGACTGTAGAGTGGAATCATATAACTGATGGTTTACTTGTTGAACTCACTTAAACTCATCATTTCTTGAGTTAGTGGTATCGACAGATTTCTATGACTGTTTGTTGGGAAGGCAATTTAGGAATCTTTACATTCGAAAGCAGCGAGCTATTAAAATAGTCACAAGGCGTTTTATTAATTATAACATTCTAGATAATGCACAACAGTCTATTTGTCACTTTGAGTTCCATTTTGTCAGTTCTTATAATACTGCCATTCCCGGTGATAGAGAGCAAAGCATTAAGAACGATTATGGACCAGCAACCTCAGACAGTCAGCAGTATGTGATGAACAAAAGCGGATTGCAGCTGGTTTTTCATGATGGCTTCTCGCCGGAACATCAGTAAACACGAAAGACTGGCGGATGAATGACAGCCCTGACCACAACAAGAACGACCTTCATAAGCCCGCTATGCCTGTTTCATTATCGATGGTGTACTTGCAGTTACTGCCCAAATGATCGATGGCACGCTGGTATCAGGAGAAATGGCACATAAGAACAACTATACCTGTGGCAGATTTGAATTCGCCGTGCGGACTGAACTTGATCCTAGCAGCGCAACCAGCGGGGTTGTGTTAACCTGGCCACAGTCGAAGAGATGGCCAGTTGACGGTGAAAATGATATTTATGAAACAGGAGCTGGTCAGAGTCGTGACTGTTTTCATACCTTCATTCATTACGATTCTACCAATAAACAATAAACGTTTACGCATCAGGTCGATCCCACTGAATAGCACATCGTGGTAATGAAGTGGGAAGCCGCTGCAATTCGAATTTACCAGGACGATACATTGGTGTGGATATTGGTTGATCAAAATGCGATATCCGATGTTTCACATCACATTTGTATTCAGTTAAATGCTTTCGAGCAGAACATGGTAGATATAGTGAAAATGTATGTGGACTATGTCAAAATATATCAGAAATCTTAAAATATTTGCTTTCTCCTAGATGAAGCACCACCGAACACAAATTACCTGTCAGCTTATATGGATGTTCGAATTCGTAGAATGTTCAAGTAATAAAAGATGGGTGTTATTGACGAACAGTAGACAAAAAAGAAAAGAAGCGCAGGTCAATTGTGCAATTTGAGTGTGATTCAGGTCACTGCATATCACTACTTACGACTCGGTTCGTAAAGCTATCATGTCCAGTTCCGATTTCATTCATAGGCTGAATGGTGATAATCTTGTTTTAGCACTCACCCTCATCTACAATTATCTAAAAGCTTCGCTATTACACTTTACATAGATAATCGATTAGCCAACATTTAGTGAGTCGCACATGTTGCGTATTCATGTCTTCAGTTTATTTTGCGAGAAATCAGGCATTGCAAGTGGATGAACTATACTCTATGTTATCGCTAATACTATAGTTTGCCGATCAATTACTCTCTTTGTGAACTTCTCTTCACTATAGACCGATACGAGTGTACGATGCGTGCACTCAATATTCAGCATAGAGTGAATTAATAAAACGAGGAACACGCAATACCACAGAAACCTATGTGATTGTCAATGATATATTTTTAATTATGTAGAACATCTCATAGTTCACAAAGAGAAAGCAAGGCGAAAACATTTTAATTTTGTTTGCTTGATGTTTCTCATCTGATCGTAAGAGCAGAGAAACGGACAACATTTTCTGTATTTTTAAATCATGTCAGGTCATTAGCTATATTTCTCTCAGATCTTTGATACAGACTGCTGTGTGAATGAGAAGGATTCAGTCAAACTTCAACACATGTATGCATCGATGAACGTCAATGAGTAAGCCATGATTTCTAGAATTTATGATTTTAGTTTAGCAAAATCCATATAGAGGTAAACTAAACGAAATGCGATCAATGTTCATATGGTCGTTTAAATATAAAGAACTTCTAAATTGCTCACCTTGTACATATATTCACGCACGCCTAACTAAATTCATTAATCAACTAATGTAATTTACCGAGAAAAAGATATTTTCACATAATGATCGATTTTTATATCTTTAAGTAGTTTTTTACCATATTCAGATAAAGTAATCACTAGAAAACTGAATAAAGGAAAAAAAGTAATGTCAAATCATTTTTTTTTCATTTAAGGAATTTATTTCTGAAAGTTTATTTTGTTTGGATATTCCGAAGTGATTGTTGATGTTCAATTTCTTTTTCGGACATGGTTTTCAGAGTATTATAAGGTAGTTTTTCCGCATAAATATTCGATGGATTGCAATTCATTTTCTGCCTAATTAAATTATAGACATTAATAATCTCATTATCGTCCATTGTAATACCGATTAAAGGCCATTGATTTGCATCCAATAATATATAATGTTTTCGTGCTAAACGGTTCATATCACAATGCCACCAAATAGGTGAGAGTGACATTCCCCATAATTTGTACTCGAACATACCAATATCATTAGTTGAACGAAATTCGCATGAACGAATGTTACGATATTTTATTTTTTTATTACCAAATGGAAAATAATATAAATGAATAATCAAATAATCCGAATAACATGTGACAAAACTGTTTGAAATTAAAGGAAGATTAGAATTAACAACAGTTTTCATTTTTGATATTAGATAAGTGAATTGTGATACGACGCAAGAGATGCAAATTATATGAAAACTAGAGAAAAAAAAATGACAGCCTTCTTATAATCGTAAAATATGAAAGACAAACTTTTATCTTTTCTTCTTGACGTCATATTTACGTGACTCACATAAGCGCACGCCATTTATTTGAAATTAAGGATTGTAGATAACGACATTTTAAAAGGAAGGCCTTCGCTTTGATGTTCTCTCGTCAGAGACAATCCACATTGGACAAGTTCGAACTCGGGTGCATTGAAGTCAGCTTGAGGGTGTGGGTGTGGGTGCGGGTGTGAGGTGTGGATGTGGAATGAATTAGAAACATGACCCACACCCCCACCCCACACCCCACACCCCACACCCACACCCCACACTCACACACCACCCACCCACACCCACACCCACACTGAAAAAGCTATATTCTTTTATATATATATATAATAGATGCCACTAAATGGTAAATCATACGATTTATAAGATGGCTTTTGATAAATTGTAGTAAAAAGCTGACCATCTTGATTTTCTATATGAAAGTGAAGCCAATCAGCGGTTGCATCCGTATTAGCTGATAATTTAATGTTTTTCATCGAATCTATTCCGTCTGTCGATTTGTTTAATTTGATGTCACACAGGCCAATTAGTAGCAACAAATATATCATTATTGTATCTGAAATGTAAAACAGTACTATTTTTGACTTGTTTAATTGTATCTTGGTCATATAAGAACACATAGCAATTGGTAACAGTTAAGGTAAGCGAAGATGCCATAGCTACACAGGATATCTCAGGTGCCGACTCGAGTATTTTTAGGGTCGATTCATCCAAGAAAATATTCCAAACAGCTAAGCAAAAATCCAAGTACACCTCAACGAGATGCATCGAATACATGTTATAGTAACCCAGAAAGATCAAAATTACAATTGTTTCTTCTCTTGCGCGGAAGTTACAGAAAATGCAATTTTTTGGCCAATTCGTCCCTAACAGTGTTTCAACAAAAGTAAATGCTGATCCAAGCACAATTCCATGAACTTCATCTAATCATGAAAACGGTATCTGAATATATAGGATGTAGATGTTGTTTTGTGATTCAATAATATACCCACTCGCATACCCGAAAGTTGCAGTTTTCACCGTTGGACAGATCTTGTTGAATTGAACTTTAAATATCAGTTACTTTTGATGGGACATTTTTCTGGGTGAACCAGGTCTTAAAATACTCGAATAGGAAGCTAAAATATCCTATGTCGAATAGTCTCAACTCAAACTTGATGATAATATTGGCCATCACAGAAACAATAATTGTTTGGCACCGTGAATCAATTCAATTTGATTATTGTTTCAATTTTGAGACCAGTAGTATCATTGTAGTTTTAGATGGTCTAAAATTTTCTTCAATGAAACTATTCCTTCTATTTGCGGTATGATCGTATAGAGATCTGCAACGTCAATTGTGCATAATAAAGTTTGTTCACGAATATTAATTATTGACCATTCTTGCAAGTGTTAGACTAATTCAAAGCCAGATGCCACCGCTGTTTTCAAATCCGTCTTATCAAACAAGAGTTAAAGTAAATCATCAAGAAAGGGCACCGCCTGTTTTTGAAAAAGTTGTCCAGATTCAATGAAATTTGCACTGTTAGTAGAAGTCAGTGAGATACGTTCACCAAAAAACTTTCAGTTTGATATGACTTATTGGAAAATAGTTGTAGTGAAAATACGTTTGTGTCAAATTGATGCAAAAATAGGAAAAATTTTGTTCAGTATGATATTCAGAAGGGTTACATTTTTTTAGATTTCATAGCATGAAAAAATTGCGTTATATAAAGTTAAATAGAGTGCCGAATGGTCTACAGTTTTATTCTTGATTGAATACTTTCTGACTGTCGTTATCGTATTTTAGAAATATGAGCAAAGTGAAGACCTCTGTCTTTGTTATCGCAATCTTAACTTTTTCATAAATAGTAGATTTCACTAATGCGATCGTATCTTCATAAAAGAACGTTGTCGTAAGATAAAACTTTCAAAAACACTGCATCTCAATTCAGACTACTGTCACTATAAATTTGAAGAGAAACGATTCTGTCACAAGAAAGATATGCTTACATTAAGGTCAAAAAGGTATTGATAAGTATTCATATTTTGTTTAAAAATAGAAAAAAATTCGTTATTTAGGATTGATATTTCTCTCATTGAAGCTAGATTTGAGATCTTCATCATCATTAATAGAGAGACCAATACATTCAGCTATTCTAACAACGAATTGAAATTTGAAGATCTTATATTTAGAGCATACCAAAAGTTCTGGCCAAGGCATTTTAAATTTTATACAACACTTAGTAACGAAGATTTTATTGGATGAACACATAGTAAAATGCCTCGTCTATAATAGTGCATGTAGCTACTGTATCTTGGATTTAATTCTAGCATTCTTTTAGATGAACTCCGGAATACTAAGGACTAAGTGAAAGTTCTAATAATATCAAATAAAAATATAAAAAGAAAGAGATATTTCTAGTTTTATTTTATTAAATGCTCAAAATAGTCACCATTATTATTATGTATACAAAGTTCCATCGTTCCTAACGGTTTATCAAAAGTTTTTTTTAATTCTTCTTCTGGAATATTCTTCAATATCTTGGAAACATCTAGAGCTAGCGATTCTTCGTTTGCTTGATGAGTCAAATTGTTCTTGATATAATTTTTTAGTGAAAGGTCACATGGTGAAAGATCTGTTGAATATGGTAGATGCGGTATTATTCAAACTCTTTTTCTGTTAAATAATTAATAACATCGCGATATGTATGAGGCCAGCCCGTATCCATGAAGTAATTTGACATACACTGTACGTGATGATTTTTCTTCTTTTCGTATTTCTTTGATAACCGGCTTGAGACAATTTTCAATATAATAGTTGTGATCGATAATCTTGCCTTTATATGCACTATGTACAAGAACAAGACCAGTTGATTTAAAGATTAAACAAAAAAATGTTCTGGGTTCACGCCTCTTTCGACGAACAATGGTTCATGACGGTTCATTTTCACTAACCCACGTAGCATTGCTCGACTTCCAACCTATCTGTCTATGATAAATCCATGTCTCATCATCAGTAATAATACCACATAATCGCCATGTTCCATGTCGAAGCTTTGATAAATTTTGACGACAAGTTTCAAGTCGTTCTTGCTTCTGTTCGTCATTGAGTTGATTGGCAACCCTACGTGATATAACTTTTCTCATCTTTAGACAATCATAAATGATTCGTCCTTTTTGTATAACGAGAGAGAACAATATCAGTTATAATATCATCATAAGTTGAATGTGTATCATCTTCAATAAATTGTCAAACGCCTTCAACATTTTCATCTGTAAATACCGAAACTGGACGACCAGATCGAAAACCATCATTGACATCTGCTCTCTCTTCACGAAAATGTTATCCCCATCTTCTGACTGTTCGATATGATGGAGCATCAGAACCTAACGTTTGTCTAAGTTTTTCACCGATTCTTTTTGCATCTATTCCCAAAATAGTCCGAATTTTAATATAGTATCGATCAAATTAATTAGTCATGTTTAATAACATTGTAAAAAGTTGAAAACAGATTTTGTCACGATTTCAGAAAGGACTTGATATTGAACAGAAAACACGGTTTGCCTGAACTGATTTATTTACATGAGAAACCTAACCGAACCAAATGAACTAACTAAACAAATGAACTGACAAAGAACAATTTCACACTGTATATTTACCATCGAACATAATGTTCTAGAACATGACATCAGAAAATGTCATACGAGAGAAAAATGAAAAAAATATGGAAAGTGCCAGGGTATACTCAAACATTACGCAAGATATAGTTGTAATATGCATTATTATAGATGACGTATTCTACTATGCACTTATGCAATAAAATCTTCGATACTAAGTGTTTTATAGAAAATAAACGCGGTGCCCAGTACTTTTGGTATGCCCTAAGTAATTTATTTTCATTTGGTGGCGCTCAAAAAGTCAAAATGTACTTCAGCTATCCCACTTCGACTCAAATTCAGGAGATAGGAAGCAGCGAGATGTTGTCATTGCCTTGTTTAAATATTCTGATACGTGTTCTACTTTCACCGACAATTCTTCAGACATGATACTATTGAATGATAGAAAAATTGTTGAAATCAGAGAATTTGTGACGTTGATCGGGATCAGTGGCATCGTAGGTCTTTATTTAAGTAGATGTGCAAAATCATGCTTCACGCGAGACTTACACGAGAACACTCACAAGCCATAAGCAAATACTGTCTAGAATTGCTTATTAGTTTACTTGTATTCAGCGAATTCTGGAGCAATATTATATTTTCAGTTATCAAATATAATTCGAAAGATATGCAAAAAGAAAAAGAAAAGACATGCAAGAAATGTCTATCCAATAATAGCGCCAGTGATATCAAGGATTCGTGGTGTAAAGTCGAACTCGTTTTCCGGATCTACACCAAGAATACTGAAATAGTATTTTGGCGTACCGGGCTCAACAAACTCTAGATAGTGTTGCTCTGTTCCCTTCAATTGACGCGAAGTTTCGCGACTCGAGCCAGCTTGGGGATTCATGTTAGTTGCCGAGGTGAACACACGAGTACTGCCTTTCCGTACGTTTGCCTAGAAGATTACATGAATTTGTTAATCATCCTCAATTCAGTATTAAAGGTTACCGTCAATTCAAAGAAACCACCTTCTCCTGATCTCAGCATACTTGTATCCATACGGTAATAGCGATAAGTGTTGCCCGGCACTTCCGTTTCTACTTTTACATTGGGTGCGACAAAGGCAGGCATCCTGCACGTTTCGTTGGTAATTTGGTTAATGAGCACAGTTAATTGTTGGTAGTTAGCCATCGTGAATACATATGAAGGATCAGAAGCAATTGCTTTGAGTTCTGCTAGATTATATCCACCGATCCCAACAGCATAAATGTTTGCTTGCGTCGAGCTTCTCAAAAGCGCTGCCTGTCTCGCTGTTTCTGATGGAACATTGCTCTGACCGTCAGTGAAGACGACTATTGACCGAGCAACTCCTTCATTAAAAGGTCGACACGTTGCATCACAAACTTTCTTTGCTTCGAGAAGAGCTTTGGCCGTGTCGGTTCCCAGTTTCATATGCTGTATTGTTCCGATCTTGTTCAGGAGCCATTGAACCGAAAATGTTGATACTTTCATATCAGCAAATGTGATAGGCACTTGCACGTCTGTCGAGTAATTGATCACTGTAATCATGACTTTCTTTGGTCCAATTTTCAAGAGTGATGCCAGAGTTTTCATTGCTTCGATTGCCTTAGCAAAGTCAGCTGGATCTATACTACCAGACGAGTCCAAGACAATGATGAGATCCAGAATGTTATCACATGTTGATACTTCTGCCTGAATGATACCAGTGCTCAAGCAAAGCAATGAAAATAGAAAGACAGTACTTTTCGATGAAAACATTATATTTGAGACTACCATCACATCCACCTCCTATTTATATTCGATAGGTTCTTATCCTAATCAATATGTGATGACACTCTTTCATCGAAAAAGAGGTATAATTGTAATATGAGAGTATCAACCATCTGGCTTCCATGACTGATAACGGGGCGAAACAATAAAGTGACGACTACACCAATCAATACTAAACACTATTCGCTTAAAAAAGGGTATGGGTGTAGATCACTTTCTAGAGCACAACCTCACCCATCCATACCCACTATTCCTTATCCAGATCGCACATTCCGAATCCCACCGACACCCCACACCTACATCCACACACTCACACTCCTACTCACATAAATCCACCCACCCACACCCACCAACCCTTAACTAGATCGCACGCTCCAAACCTCACCCACACCCATATTCACATCTCACATGCATACCCCCCTTACGCCTACACCAACCCATAATCACTCACACTCGCATTCACATCCACCTATCCATCCACAATCGCATCCACTCTACCCACACCTACACCCAGACTCGATGTCAGTGGATTTCCTTTTCTCGTTTCTTAAACATCAAAAAAATTCTCTTTTATGCGGAAAATTAGAGAATTTCAAGCTGTACAAAATTCTCAGTTTGATTTTTCAAACAAGTTTTTTCTTGCCACCCATCGAACCTGATGCTGAAACTAACCTATCTAATATCAATAGACAGGAAATTTGGTGCTCTATGCTTTTGAGGCTTTCTCAAGCATCCTAATGCTCTAGCTTAGAAAAAAGACTTAGAACTGATGCCTGCAAATATTTATGCATACACTATCAAAAACCATCATTTCATAAGTTGAATTTAATCTATGCAACAATTATTTTTATACTATCACATGTACACTTTAATTCTGAGCAAAATAGTGTCATTGTTGGACTGAACAGTGGAAACATGTGTATTGTTTCGAGTTGAAAAATTTCTAATTGCATAGGTTTTCCAGAAATGCTTGTTTTTCGATATCTTCATATTTTTCAATCTAAAACTGTTTTTCTCAAATCTTTCTTTGAAAACTCTGAAATATACATCTAAATATGTGTGATTTTACGAAGAACTTTGTGACATAGTTTAAGTTTCAGTGGAACTTTTCTGAAAAGAATTCTATCATTTTTTTTTGTTGTTTTATTGTACAGTCGCTGTTGAATGATTAAGTAAATGTAAATCTTTTCATTTTTCTTATTGTTATGAAAAACTAAATAAATAATGCAATGAGACTATATACACTTTATTTTGGAACACTCGCTATATTGTTCAATAGAAGAGAAGTAAATAGATTGAAGATTCAGGACTTAGTTATTAAACAAAGAGAAACGAAATATACGGTAGAAACAACAGCGAAGAATCGTATCAGGTTTCAAATCGAACCATACGCAGCTGTTGTCTCTCTTTCAGATTTATTTTGTACGTCAACTCATCTCTGAGTGGTATGACGAACTGATCGATGAGAAAAGTTTTTTTTTCGAGAGATTAATGTTACATTACAACGATTAAGTGTATGTTGCAAATTTCGGTGATATAATTTCACTTTTCAGCTTGCCTGCTTCTCTTGAACTTGAAATATTGCGAATAACAATAGTTACACTATTCTTGTCCTTCCGAATCGACGTCATAGATGAAAAATCGATTTTATGTATGAAGATGAAAGGGCGAGGAAAATGAGAAAGGGAACTGCACTATTCAATATAAATGCGTTCGGTTTAATTGAAGTGTAAAAAAGATGCTATTCTAGTGCCGTTCATGTGATTATTAATGGTACTCTATGAAATGTGCCGCTTAAAACAATTCGAACAGTTTCGTGTAAAGTGAAACTAGTAAGAGAACACTTTCGACTGCAATATGTGTACAATGAAGTCGTTTTGATACGATTATGCGAGTCCTTCTTTAATCTGATGTATCAAGTATCTGTTGACATGCGTTGCTCGGTCTAAACGAGTGATTTCTGCATGTTTCTTTTGCAACTAAGAGATGCAAGAAAAATTCTAGCATGTTCTCGAAGTCAAGACAATCAATAATCCATGAATATAGTTTTAGATTGAGTGAAAGCCTTGCGAAACTGAACAGAATCAATGGAATGGAGAAAAATTGAACAATGAGAGGGTGTAGAATATTTTGATGGCACGATTATTGTATCTTTAATAACTATGAAGAAAAACAATGTTATTACAAGAAAAAAGAATTTGAAATGTAAAAAAAACGAATTGTTCATGCAAATCTTTCTTTGATTGTTCATTGGGTAACCAAATAATCTGTTCCGCATGATGAGCTCGAGCTGGTTGCTCCATCCATCCCAGCTGAACCACCTTGACTACTAGATTGTTGACCTGACGAGTCACTGGAGCCATGTTATTCGGTGGACGAATGACCCATATTCTGTTATCCACTCGATGAGCCACTCGAGCTGCTTCCACCAGACGTTACATTCTTCATTATTCCACCTGGTGATTCAATATTAGCTGCAGTCGACATTTTTCAAAAGGTGAATGATAAATCAATCAATTTGATAGTTAGAGTATCATTTTGAATGTAGAATGAGAGTGAATGAGGACGAATTGCCTTTATTTATACTCGAGCGATGATATCAAGAAAAACAGTTTATGAAATGGTTCAAAATGTCGAAGTAAAAGAGTCGTATCTGTGACAATGCAGTGAAGAAACAACATGAAACGTTATTTGAGAATATCAAAGAAAAGGAAACTGCGTAATAAAGAAAAGAAAAAGCGACAACAAAGTTGCCTTTTCTTGTAATAACCGCATAACTATTCTCGATGATCTTGGTAAGGTGTTAATTGCATTCTTCTACCACGTATGAATAAACAATCTACTGTTATACGTTCAAAGAAAGCAAAAAAGTTCTCTTAATACAATTAGAATAAACCATCAAATGAGTAAGAGTCTCATTTTCTAGGAGTACAAAAAAGTATAAATTTTCTTCAATTTGTGATTCTGACGTCCCATAATTTCATATGTGGCTCATATGTCTTACATTGAAGCCATGCACGCAATATGATGTGCCAAGTGACCGAAAACAGATTTAGTTCTCTTAGAAGATGCGCGAATCATGAAATATATGAAAAATGGGACATCAAGTGTGACTCATAGAGTTCAATATATTAATTGCGACATACAACTATAAATAAGATAAGCAGAATATAGCTGTGTTATATTGCTTAATGCGCCCTCGAGTTTGGGACGAAATGTAAAGTTATCAAAAAAAAAAAAATAAGAACTTTAAAATAAAAAGAAACCTCACTGAAAATCAGAGAAATATTTCGAGAGAGTATCGGCAACGAGAGGAATCTAGTCTCCCGTATTGGAGCAATTGATTGGCAAAGTTCATCTCTATCGAGTTGAATAATCATTTACAGTACACTGTGTCTTATGCGAAAAAAATATAAACAAATGATCATCATTCTAGAAGTACAAAATTATTTATTTTGTACCTATTGATTTTGTCTAGAAGTATTGTCGTCATTCTGAAAAATGTTTTCAAAATAGAAAAACCCTGTTGATATTTACTATTCTTTGTCTAAATCAAAAAGAATTCTTTGGTTTTCTTCATCCTGCACGAGTTAAATAAGGTCAAGGTTTCTTTTGGATGCAAACTCTTTGGAGACGATATCATTCAGACTGAAAAATGTTTATCAGAAAAAGCTTTTTATGCATCAACAGTGTGACATGAAGTTATTGTTTGTATCTTAATTGATTTAATTAGCTGTTTTTCTAAAACTCAAGTGTTCAATCGTCCACTCTTCTCTGTATAGAGCATTGAAGCTCGTTTAGTCTTATTAGATCTTTTATCAAAATCGTGTGTATGTACATTCAGATTAGACGAATCGAGTATGCTTGATCGATCTCGTCGTGGATACTTTAACTTGTAAAATACTCGCGTCTAATGAATTTCGAAAATCGGTTCTTTCGGTGTCAACTGTATATTAAAATGTGGAAGAGTTATTTTAAAAATTTTCATGGCACAATGAAAATAGATTGAAATGAGCGATTGACACAAGAAATAGAAGGAAAGAAAATCATCCAACTGCCCATTAAAGGCCAGACAAAATTCCTCAAATCTTTCTGGATCAAGAAGTCAAACATATCATTTGAGTTAACTATGAATTGCTAAATGTTCTCTTCAAATTGTGAATTCTACTATGAAAAAATTTTCTTCATGCAAATCGATCTTTTTTGCAAGAACAAATGACATTCAATGGACTGATGCGAAGCTGAGCTTGCCTATCAATAACAGAAGG